TTTTGGTTCTTCTTCGAAAATATCCGCCCTTATCCGTTCATAATCCTGTTCTCTTTGCTCTAAACTAACTGGGAATTGAGTCTGGCATGCGACCTCCCTACGCGGAGGCCTAAGAATTTGAACCTGCAGAGGATTGGATGTAGATGAAAACATACACTCGGAATCAGAACTATCGGAACTATCTGGAAAAGTTATGATGACCCTAGGTGAAGCTCTCGAGGGACTGGTACTACTCTCCGAACTACTGACATCTCCATGCAAACGAATGGTTCTGACTGGGGCTGGCTTACTTTTTGGTTTAGTACAGGAGGCAGCTGCTCCTGAACTCCCTGCTTCGGGGGCTAGGGTGCCGAACGAGAATCCCCGATTGCCTTCTCGCTCGGGTTCCGGTTTCCCTGCCTCCGATGATCTCTGGGGCATCTTGGAGTGACCACCCCCTTCTGTCCACACTTGAAGCAGAACACGTTCCGAATCGCTTCCTCGCAATAGATATAAGAGTGTCCCATCCTGTCACAGTTCCAACACTGTATTCCTGAGTAGTCCGGTTTCCTAGTCCTCTGGAAATTCAGCGCTTCCACTTGTGGATCCACTTCTCCATCCATTCCTCCTGTCCATTCATCCGGTGTAATGGCCATGGTTTCGTTGACATGCCGTCCTGAATAGTTCGGTACCAAGCTCCTGGTTTCCTTCAGGATCTGTTCGCCTTTCCTAGCAACGTCACGTAGGTCATGTAGGGTCTGCGCGCCAGCATTGAAAAGCATCAACTTCAGGCTGCTGTTAACGTTCCTCTTCAATATGTCCATCAGAAGGTTCTCTGACATCGGTTCCCTTAGTCTCGCGTTCAAGGCTAATATATCTGTATGAAACGTATCATACGATTCATTAGCCTTCTGACGACGCATTGAGATCTCCATCATGATCTCATGGTCACTCTTTAGGGTGCCGAATTCCCGCCTGATAGAGTAGCACAAGAAAGGATAAGTCGCATCTGGGTTCTGCTTGGTGAACAACCAGTACCATTCCTCAGCTCGCCCTGACAAAAAAAGGTGGAAGCTTGCCATCAACTGCTCATCTGTACATTGCGTGCGCTCACACAACGTATTGAGTTTAAAAAGAAAGTCTGAAAAACTACCGTTTCCGTCATAGGATACCTTCCAATCCTGTGGCTTAATGACAATATTAGTGGTGAAATTTGGTCGGTTATTCAAAGTGGCTTGTGTCGGATTGCGTCCGATAGAAGCAAAGTCCCTAGAGCCATTGGGTGCAGTTTGAGATGCAGTTACCACTGCACTTAATGCGTTCATATTTTCCCGCATTGTTCTCATTTCAGCTCTCATTTCTTCTTGCGAAGTACGTAAGAGCTGATGAAGCACTCCTACCCACGAATCTCCTGCGGGCGCTCCGCCATTAGAACGTCTACATCTATCTTCTGCAATACCTTCACCAAACCCGGTATTCCCTGCCAAAGACCTATCATTTTCCTGTCTTCCCGAAAGCATAGTCATGGAGGTAGCGGAAACATTCTGGACCGAAGTCCCAGGTGGTGAGGTGTCAAGTAAATTTGAACTTTGACGGCTATCAACTTTAAGTCCCGGAGCGGGATTGGCCATCGGAATTGGTGGCGGAACCCCTCCCGTATGGTCAGCAATAGGTGAATGCATCACCAGAGGATTAGTTGCTGGCATAGCGGGACTAGTATTCCTCCCGGCCCCTCTTGACTTTGCGCCGCTACCCCTAACTGAAGCACTGCGCGTTTGCCTAAGTTGCTGTTCCATCTACCAAGTGTTCAGTGGTGAGACAAATGCAATCAGGAATAGCAAAAACCGTGACGCTTAAGGTCAAATCAAATCCGAATTAAAAATCTACAATAGGTGGTTAAGGCTTGGCTCCCCCAGAGCTCAAACCAAAATCGAAAATCCGAGAAAAATTGTTCAAATAAAAATGGGAAAAAAAGTTTTAGCCAAGAGGCGCAGTATTACCGACACGGATCGCGACAAAAAAAAACAATCGAAAATTATTAAAGTAATTATTCAGCTGCGTACTGAATAGGAATATACGCGCCGGATGGAAAAACAACAATCAAAAAAAATATATATATATATTTTTAGTAAATAGGCACATCAAGTGGGTTAATTATATATATATGTGGTCATATACGTGTAAGGCAAAAGTTCAGTTGGGTATAAATTTTATATCAAAGTCAATGGGAATGCGGACTCCCCTTAACATTAGGAAGGCACAAGTCTACGAAAAATAAATATAAGCTACAAAAAAAACCAAACACAAAAGTCGCTATTTGGTACAGTACACCCAACCGCAATGAAAGCCGGCATAGTGGAATGCCCCTCCAGACTTGAAGGGTGTACTGGCCTTCGCGTACAATTTTACTGGGGTATCTTTCGGTCTCAGTGCACCCCACCGCAATGCAGCAAGGGCAGTCACTCATGCCCCCCTGAGAGATGCGGGGCGACTGAGACCCCGATAGTCAGTCGTGGTTGGAGTCCCAGCCCACTCCATCGCGATACGTAGGTGCTCAGGAGCGCCAGCGCAGACCTATGGAGTGAGCTGGGGTCCGAAAGAAAAATTTAATTATCGAAATTTTTATTTTTTTTTTTTCAAAAATCAAAAAAAAATCAAAATAAATATTCGGCAAAAAAAAACTAAAGGAAAATCTATTTACTCTAAACCCCACTTAGCGGACTAAATTTTCCCCCATTCCCGTGCCGACATAACGGACCACTGAACAATTTGGAGGAAAAAAAATCAAACTACAAAAAAACTAAGTGCGTTTAGCACTGCCTCACCGGGTGAATACAAAACTCCGGAGGGCGTGACGTGAAGTCTCGGAGAACCTTCGGTTACTGGTCAAGAGGACCGATCTGAACCAGCACACTCAACTCCACTCATCCCACCGCAACGCAGCAAGGGGCAGCAACGCATGCCCCCCTGGGACTTGCGGGATGGTGAAGCCTAATGTGCCAGTCAGGACCAGTCAACCTGACCAGACCTCAGGCTACCCCGTTGGGCGCCATCTGTTATGGTACGGATACTTCGGGAGCAGCAGTGAATGCAGGCGGCATGACACAATAGGGTGCACTATGGCTAGTCATGTCGGCTGGGCTGGGTTCTTGCCTTCACCGCTGTTCCCTGCGCCATAGCAGAGAAAAGTCATGCCTTGTCAAACGTCGTTAACGGACGGACACACTACAAAATAAATTCAAAATTCCACAAAGAAAATCCGTTAACAAAAATAGCTGAAAAAGAACGTTAAATTTAAAATTTAAAATAAGCTGAAAATCCAAAACTACGAAAAGAAAATGTAAAAAAAAAAAAAAAAAAATGCACCAAAAATAAAACAAGGCCGAATATAAGGGCGCCACTGGTGGAGTTGTGACGCCCGGTGCTGGCCCACCCTCATCCATGGCTACCGTCGCACCCTAATGTCGGTAGCCCCATTATTTAAGCTCTAATGTGCCTTCCTAAATAACAAAGCAAGTCAGCATTCCCATTATGTTACACGAATTTATTGAAAGTTCATTTCTACATCTAATTTCTAAACCTAATTAACCTAAAGCTGCGTCCTAACATCGAACAAAAATTATATATGCTTAAGAGCTAAGTAGTTGTGAAGAATATTTAAGGGAAAAAAAACTAATCCTAAGCTGTCCATCAAAATTCAAGGCGAGTAAGTGTTTAATCGCACCTTACATGCTAAGTCTTATCACTAGTATGGTTTAAACTTAGTCCTACGGTTGAAATTTATGGGTCAAGGTTGCACTGAAGGGTAAGTTTACAGGCTACAAAAGGGTAAGTCAGGTAAGTAAATCCGGTAGGAGAATCAGGTAGGTAAGTCGGGTAGGTATTTCAGGTAAGTAGGTCAAGTAGTTTCAAAAAATTCAATTAAAGAAGTTTAAGTCTAGTCTAGTTAAGTTTTAAGTTCTGCTTCCCTATAGTTCTATAATTTTTTTTTTAATTTCGCTTCAGGTATTTTTTTTCTTTTTTTATTATTATTTTTTTTTATTTCTTTGTTATTTATTATTATTGGTATTATTTGTTATTTATATTAAGTTCTTGTTATAAAGTGGCCGTTTTTTTTTTTTTTTATATTTTCAGTTATTTATTTAAAAATTATTTTATTTGAATTTCCGCGAAACTTTTATTTTATACTAATTTATATTAAGTTCTTTTAGTTATATAAATTTAGATTTTATTTATTTAAAACTAAGTTATTTTAAACTTTTCTAGATTGTAATTTATTTTATTTAACTTTAGAGAATGTTAAATTACTTGACTGAATTTTTATTTAGTTTAATTTAATTCAATCTAATCTAGTTTAATTTTATGTCAGTTATTTATTTGAGGTATATAGATTTTTCGTGTTCTTTAAAAAAAATTATTCAAGGGTGTTCATGTTTGTTGTTTTACTTAAAACTAAATTTCTATTTCATCTATATACATCTATNGGTTCATGTTTGTCGTTTTACTTAAAACTAAATTTCTATTTCATCTATATACATCTATACACATCCATAGGTGCATATGCATGTATATAGGTGTATATGTATGTCTATATATGAAAAAAAAA